GACTCCAAACTCAGCCCAGCTCTTCATACTGGTCTGACCGAGTGTGCTATATCTTTTCTAACTGATCGGATTTACGGTTTTCATAAAAATTAAGATTAAAAATCATAAAAATCCCATAGATTTGCATTGAAAAGTCTCTGCTCATCTGAACATTCCGTCAAAATCCAACTGTCAAAATTAAAATCTAAACACACTGAAGCCCATTAGACACAATCAAACTTCCTTTCTATGTACTATTTCTATCTATCTATCATCTGACTATTTCTATCTATCTATCTTCATAGCAACACTCTAGCACCTATCCAAACCAACCTAGCAACCACCCCGGGGTACCCTAGCAACCGCATAGCAACACCTTAGCAACCACCCCGGGTACCCTAACAACCTGCATAGCAACACCCTAGTAACCACCCCGAGTACCTTAGCAACCGCATAGCAACACCTTAGCAACTGCCCTGAGTACCCTAGCAACCATCCAGGGTACCCTAGCAACTGCATAGCAACACCCTAGCAACCATCCCGTGTACCCTAGCAACCGCATAGCAACACCTTAGCAATCTTTCCATCTGAATATTTCTATCTATCTATCTATCTATCTATCTATCTATGTTCCGGCTTTCTCAAGCCAACTTAAAGTTTGTCTTGACGAACTTTTTTATCTAGTTAAGTTGGCTTGAGAAAGCCAACTTACTGAAATCCGTCTTAAACTTATTATTATTCTTCTTTTTCTGAGACTAAAATTTCTGTCTGCTACTCCTCGTAGAGCTTTAACTCTACAGACTCCAAACTCAGCCCAGCTCTTCATACTGATCTGACCGAGTGTGCTATATCTTTTCTAACTGATCGGACTTACGGTTTTCATAAAAATTAAGATTATAAATCAGAAAAATCCCATAGACTTACATTGAAAAGTCTCTGCTCATCTGAACATTCCGTCAAACTCCAACTGTCAAAATTCAAATCTAAACACACTGAAGCCCATTGGACTCAATCAGACTTGCCTTCTATGTACTATTTCTAACCCATTCAAACTCATCTATCTATCTATCTTCATAGCAACATTCTAGCAACTATCCAAACCAATTTTTCTGAGACTAAAATTTCTGTCTGCTACTCCTCGTAGAGCTTTAACTCTACAGACTCCAAACTCAGCCCAGCTCTTCATACTGATCTGACCGAGTGTGCTATATCTTTTCTAACTGATCGGACTTACGGTTTTCATAAAAATTAAGATTATAAATCAGAAAAATCCCATAGACTTACATTGAAAAGTCTCTGCTCATCTGAACATTCCGTCAAACTCCAACTGTCAAAATTCAAATCTAAACACACTGAAGCCCATTGGACTCAGTCAGACTTGCCTTCTATGTACTATTTCTAACCCATTCAAACTCATCTATCTAATATTTCTCTATCTATTTATCTCTATCTATCTATCTCTCTATCTATCATCTGACTATTTCTATCTTTCTATCATCTGACTATTTATATCTATCTATCTATCTGTCTATCATCTAACTATTTCTATCTATCTATCTATCTATCATCTGACTATTTCTATCTATCTATCCATCCATCTATCTATCTATCTATCTATCTATCTATCTATCTGTCTGTCTGTCTGTCTTCATAGCAACACTCTAGCAACTATCCAAGCCAACCTAGTAACCACCCCGGGTAACCTAGCAACTGCATTGCAACACCTTAGCAACTGCCCCGGGTACCCTAGCAACCGCATAGCAACACCTTAGAAACCACAGCGGGAACCCTAGCAACCACATAGCAACACCATAGCAACCACCCCGGGTACCCTAGCAACCACATAGCAACACCC